AACTGATGTAATACTAATGGGTCTATAATTACTGGGACAATTTTTATCCCCTCTCTTGAAAAGAGGAGTTACATTAGCTAACTTTCAATCCTCTGGTACCTGCCCACTATTCAAGGACTGTAGTAAGTGGCTTACCTATCCAATCTTTAACCTCCTTCAAAACCCTTGGGGAAATATTATCTGGACCAGGAGACTTATCATTTTTTAAACTCCCCAATGTTTTCTTAACCAGCTCAGAATTAATGCAGTCATCTTGTTTCTATTAATCAACTGTTCTGGTTGTGGAATATTGCTTAAATCTTCATTAGTAAAAACTGAAAAAAAAAAAGCAAAATTTAATAACCCAGCCATCTCATAATCATCAGATACTAGTGTTCCTTTATCATCCCTCAAGGGTCCTATCATTTTGTTTACCCTTAATGTATTTAAAGAAATCCTTACTGTTAATTTTTACATTTTCAGCCAACTTTTTCTCATACATCCTTTTTAATGTCCTAATTTTTTGTTTCACCAACTTTCTTAATCTTCTAAGTCTCCTTTCAAACCAGTCAATTTAAAATTATTATGCTTTTCTCTTAATTTTATTTCTTAAATTCTTTGTGAGCCAACCTGGTTTTTACATGTAGTTACCCTTTTCTTTCTATTAGGAATATGTTTACATTGAATACTTAAAAATGTCCCACATTTAATCAGTGTCTCCAAATAACTCAGCTGCCTAATTCACAACAGATAATTATTGTCTCATCCCTTCAAAATTTGCTTTTTTGAAATGTGTAACCACTTTGATCTTTAATTTTATGACATATTTCATAAGGTTTGTTCCACTTTGATCTTTAGTTTTATGATGTTTCATACAATTTCTCCTCATTAATCCTTATCACATATAGTTGCAACAGTTTGTTGCTTTTTAATAAATATTCTTATGTGCTGTACAAAACCTGTTGTTTAAGTGTGATATTAAATTTAGCTGAAGTCCTACATAATGGTAACAGTCCTGTAGAAAATATTATATGTGTAAATACCGTGCAGATTGCTGACGAAGGGCATTCAAGAATGTGTCTGGGTGGAAAAGTTCCGACAGATCTAGAGTGTCTTGCAGAAGTGACTCGGATTCAGTTTTCTGAAGCCATTTTTGGATGGCAAGTGCTCTACTCATGACACTACGCAAGTACTGAAGAGGATCATCCGGGCCTTCCCACTTTTTCTGCCACTGAGTTGGAGTCTGCAAAAGAAAACAAAAATGAACATAATATAGCAGAATGTAGAAATAACTAATTACTTATTTTAAAACAGAATGTTAAGTGTCACGTCTAAGGTGACAAAATGTTATAAACTTTTATTGGATATGTAGAAAAGGAAATATCTGCTCTAACAGTTAAGGAACCAACAAGAAACAATGCTATTTTACAATTACTGGTAACTTCAAATATAAAAATGATTGAAAGGATGGGAATTGGGGAACCTCTGGATGCAAGTGATCATTGCTCTGTTAGGTTTAATGTTTTACTGCATATGGAGATAAGGAATAATGATATTTTGGGAACAAACTGAGTAAAATATGTCATAAAATTAAAGATCAAAGTGGAACAAACTGAGTAAAATATGTCATAAAATTAAAGATCAAAGTGGAACAAACTGAGTGAAATATGTCATAAAATTAAAGATCAAAGTGGAACAAACTGAGTGAAATATATCATAAAATTAAAGATCAAAGTGGGACAAACTGAGTG